GGTAGTGAACAGTCAGACCACATGACAACCCTGTGCGATTTGCTTCAGTTCAGAAGTCCTGGCCAGGAGCCACATTAGCCGGACATACTTATCAAGAAGTTGTGTATGCATGGACTGGGATTTCTTTCTCACCCCTAATGATCAAAGTTCATGAATAGGAGAGGTTTGGATGGATATGGGAACATGGTCAACATGGACTGGTTGGACCGAAGGTTCTGTTCCGTGCTGTATGGCTCTATGACTCTTTGACTCTATGAGAAGATATTTTATTGTCACAGAGCAAGTAATGTGTTGACAAAAGAAGAAAGATTTTGTACAGCACTTTTCATGACCACCAAAAGTTTCCAAAGTCTTTACACCCAATAAAATACTTTGGAAGGGTTCCCATCGTTGTAATTCAAGTAAACACAGCAATTAATTTGCACACTGCAAAATCCCACAAACAGTGATAATCTATTTTGTTTTGTGATGTCAGTTGAGGGCAATTATTGACCAGGGAAAACATCCCTGCTCTTACACAAGAGCTAGGAGCAGATGTAGGCCATTCAGCCCCTCGAGCCTGCTCAGCCATTTGATACAATCGTGGCTGGTCTCATCTCAACCTCAACTCCACTTTCCTGGCCACTCTTCAAAATACTTTCCCCCCTTTACTATTTAGAAATTGGTCTATCTTCTCCTTAAATTTACTCATTGTCCCATATCCTTCACACTCTGGGGAAGTGAGTTCCACAGATTCGTAACACTTACAGCAAATAAACTTCTCCTCATCTCTGTTTTAAAAATGTCTTGGAAATAGAAATGTGGTGTCTTTTGCATCTGCTTGAGTGGACATTGATAACATTTCAATGTATTTCCTTGGCTAAAAAGTGCTTTGAGATTTCTGGTGGTGTTGAAAAGCACTACACAACTTAAAAGTATTTTTTTTAAATTATTCAGTCTTAGGATGGGGGAGTCACTGGCTGGGCCAGCATCTATGACTCATTCCGAATAGTCCTGGAGAAGGTGGGGGTGAGCTGCTTTCTTGAACCATTGCATTCCATGCTGTTAGGGAGGGAATTCCAAGATTTTGACCAAGCCACAATGAAGGAACGGCGATATATTTCTAAGTAAGGATGGTGAGTGGCTTGAAGGGGACCTTGTAGTGGTGGTGTTCCATATATCTGCTGCCTTTGTCATTCTAGATGCAAGTGGTCATGGGTTTAGAAGATGCAGTCTGAGGAGCGTTGGTGAATTTCTGCAGTATATCTTGTAGATAGTACACACTGCTGCTACTGAGCGTTGGTGGTGGAGGGATTGGATACTTGTGGATGCGGTGCCAATCAAGTGGGCTGCTTTGTCCTGGATGGTGTCAAGCTTCTTGAGTGTTGTTGGGGCTGCACCCATCCAGGCAAGTGGGGAATATTCCATCACACTCCTGACTTGTGTCTTGTAGATGGTGGACAGGATTTGGGGAATCAGGAGGTGAGTTGTGTGCTGCAGTATTCCTAGCCTTTGACCTATTTTTGTAGCTACAA